CGGTTATAAGCAAAGTCTAATAAAGATGTTTGCATAGATTTATCAACTCTCTATGTGATGTTTAACCTGAGAAAATGAATTTATTATAAAAGTTAGGTTAGTTGCGTATCCTTTAAAGGACGTTGCAGAACCAAGCATGTTTTTTTTAAGGCAACTTACGTCCAGTAGTTTGCCATTGCCTACTGGACGGTCGGCTTTCTTGATACCACTGTCGAAAACAATGCAAGGCGCGTGGCCCGCAGCTGGGATCGAACCTGGCATCCCGGCATTACGAAGTGTTTGCATCGACTTAGCCACAGAGCCGACTATTATAAAAGTACGTTTTAGATTTTTGACAAATACAGAGATCATGAAAAACGATCCTCTATATTCACTCAAGATTTTAAATACAATAATTCCCATACACAGGTAATTCATTATCATCATATATATCTATCTATCTATTCAGCAGTTCCTTCACAGAACGTCACTCTTTTGACGGCATGTCTGAAAGTCTCTTTCTCTAACCAGTTCTCCAGCCCCATGTGCTTTTATAGTCAATGCATTTTTAATGCCTTGTACCACCACCGCCAGTGTTCAGCCGCTGCCTCGTTTTCTGGAACCTATATCCTCTGTTATCCTTCTCTCCAGGCTACCATGAATATACACATTACGTATGCTTACTTTTAAACCAGATCTGGAAACAAGAAAATTTCCATAAAAGTAAAGGCAGCCAGCTAAATTGCTGACTATTCCATTCAACGAGAGTGGATTCTTCTTTTTCTTCAGCATTGGGAGCCTTTGCATTCAGTGCTCGAGATATCACATGCTCTAGATGTCACATGATCTAGATATCACATGCTTTAGATGTCACATGCTCTAGTTGTCACATGCTCTAGTTGTCACATGCTCTAGTTGTCACATGCTCTATTTGTCACATGCTATAGATGTCACATGCCTCCATTTATCTCTATGACAGGTCTTCTTTTTCTTCGCGTTCACCGACTATAAACTCCAACACAAAGTTCTGGCTGTTTGTTACCTTCTGAACTTTGGTCGTGTTGCAGAGCTTGAATTTTAGCATGCACATTCCCTTAACAGGTTTAACTTATTAATATGCAGACTGTTAGTTCCTCACCTCTCAGGTAGATGCACTCTGACGTTGAAGGAAACACCTCAGATTAGTCACCTCCTACAAGACATGCTTGTTGGGGGCAAGTGGCCTAATTCTCCCTTCCCCCCCCCCCCCCCCCACCCCCACCCAATAGGGCCCTGGAACCCACACATATAAGAATGAACTTTAACCTTAAGAATGCCCTAATTACAACGTCTTGGACAGTTCAACAAGCTTTCAGGAATTTACCGGCACTTCTCCAGTTGGACGTCATGAGAATGAATCCTGATATACCTGCCAAAACAGTTTTCTGTCCCTGGACACCTTAGGGACAGAGAAAGATGGGGCGCCCAAAGACAACATGGAGAAGAACGATGGAAAGTGAACCGAGGGCTGCATCTCAGGAACATAAAACACTGCACTGAAGGTTGCACAGGACAGGAAGGCAGGGACAGTCCTCTCTGAAGCTTCATGTGCCTCTAGGCATATAGAGAAGTGATCTGCCACAAAAAATAACTGTGAAGTCACCTGCAGGGATGGGGAGGGTGGTTTACCCCAGGCAGCAGCTGGGAGAAGACAATATTGTCAAACTTTTTTTGCAAATAAAAAAAAAAAAAGGGGAATTATTTACAATACTGTAAACATATGCTTATAAAATCTTGCATCCATACTGACCTAGTACTGCCACAATATTTTCCGGGCAGGGGTGGGGTACAGACCCATCGCTCTTCAACAAGCATGTCATCAAAGTAAAGTAAAGTAAAGGACCCTTTTCCACGTCTTTAGGCGTATAGGGCACATAGGGCTAGAGCTATATTTTTTATAGACCAATCGGCACAAGGTGGGTGATGTGGTCAGCATCACGCCGGCCACCTTTACTTCCCAGGACTGCACCCGGTAGCCACTCGAGGCTGGGTCGACCTGAGAGCCAAGGTCATTTTTGAAAACAGTCCGGCTCCTCCAGGAAGCGAACCCACGACCTTCTGATCCGCGGTGAGCGTCTAGCCGCTTGGCCACGGAAAGTCCCATGTCATCAAAGGCAAGTAATTAAATATTTGCTGAAATCAGATGCCCAACTGTAAACCTCAATAGGGCTAACAAGGAAAGAAGAGAAGAACAAGAACATATGGAAACAAAAAATATTTATTTATATTTGTTGGAACAGTGTGTCTTCTTCTTCTTCTTCGCGTTCACTGGCTTTAAACTCCAGTCAAAAGTTCTGATTCTGCCCAAAGGCATGTCGTAAGAGTGGACTAATTGGGGACTTCCTTTGAAGTCAAAATACATCTGCCTGAGAGGCAAGGAACCAACAGTCTGCATGCTAATGAGTCAGACCTGTGAAACGGATGTGCATGCAACACTCAGTTTCTGGAACTGGACTAACAACCACAATTTTCGCCGCAGTTCATAGCTGGTGAACGCAAAGAAGTAGTAGAAGAAATATAACAATATTTTTGAAAACATTTTTTAAATATATAAATAAATGCTTAAAAAAAAAAAAAAAAACTTCTATCATAATTTGGACCTCAAAGTGTGACCTCAAGGTACCTAAGCTCCCGTTATCTGGCACCCTTACATCTACCCAATTTTGTGATCACAGTTTTTAATTATGTTATCAGGTAAAATTTGTTTGTACTTTCATTAAGATATACGGTTGCATTTGCAATACTGTACCTGATCTCCCGTTTTCTGGCACCCTTACGTCAACCCAATTTTGTAATCACAGTTTTTATTATTGTATCAGGTAAAATGTGTTGTACTTTCATAAGGACATATGGTTGCATCTTCAATCTTCAGTGTCAACGTGTATACAATTTTATATAAAAACAAAATAAAATTAAAGCATATACGCATACAATTGTCATATTCTGTTACGCATACAATTGTCATATTCTGTTATGTTGTATGTACTATGTACGCCAGTTAGAAACAGGAAAACTTAAAGAACGGTGGTGCATTGTGACATATGTTGCATCTGCAATTTTCAGTGTCAACATGTATACAATTTTATATAAAAACAAAATAAAATTAAAGCTTATTTGCATACAATTTAAATATTCTGTTATGTTGTATGTACTATGTCCCCCAGTGAGAAACACAAAAACTTAAAGAACGGTGGTGCTTTGTGACATATGAAGCTAGACTCATAGGTGTATTTATGGATCGGCAAAAAGATGTTTGTTCTGTTTGTTTACAGGTGACTGCAGAACCAAACACAGCTTTTGTTGACTGTTTGATTTTGCTAAGCAATTTTATGTTCAATAGTAAGAAATGGTCAACTGACTAGTTGGATCTCGATACCACTGTCGAAATTAATGACAATCTGCTCTCTACTTTTAAAAAAATACTAATTTAGATATTGTGAGGGCTCTTTGGGAACGGGTGAACAGTGAGGAGACACAGAGAGATGATTACGGTCTGAGGAGAATGGCGCTGCGAGGAGTTACCAGGGGATATGACCGACATTCAAAACTCAGGGGAAGGATGAGACAGATATACAATAAGATTGTTACTGGTACCACTGAAATTGGAACTCTTCGCTTGCTGCTAAAAATGGGGACTGAGCACTTATGGGAGTGTCCCGAGTGCTGTGATGTTGATTCGTGATTCAACATTCAACTTTTTACTAATCATTGAAAAATGGGTGTTCAAACAAACTTAAAAAAAAAATTTGTTTGTTCGTCCCTCCCCAACAACAACAAAACTCACTGACTACAGTGCTGTTGTATCTGGGAGATACTACTTCCATAGTATTTCCCTTTCAACTATGAGGAAAAGCAACACATAGAACACTTCACAAAGTGGTTGTGGAGTGACATGGTCATTTATGCTAGCTGTTGTGGAGATACTTGATCACCTATACCAGCTGGCATGATAATCAATATGGAACAAAATATCATCACTGCACTTAATATGGCAGCTGGTGTAGAACTCTTGGTCCACAACATACACTCAATGCAGCACAATGTTCAACACAGCACAACTCTCAACACAGCACAACTCTCAACACAGCACAACTCTCAGCACAGGACAACTCTCAACACAGGACAACTCTCAACACAGGACAACTCTCAACACAGCACAACTCTCAACACAGCACAACTCTCAACACAGCACAACTCTCAACACAGGACAACTCTCAACACAGTACAACTCTCAACACAGCACAACTCTCAACACAGCATAAATGTCAACTCAGAACATCTCTCAACACAGCATTAATGTCATCACAGTACAATTCTCAATAGAGTAAAACTCTTAACACAGCACAATTCTCAACACAGCACTACTCTCAACACAGAATAAATGTCTGCATAGCACAACTCTCAACACAGCATAAATGCCAACACAGCACAATTCTCAATGGAGTAAAACTCTCAGAACAGCACAAGTCTCAATTCTGAACACAGCACAATTCTCAATGGAGCAAAACTCCCAACAGAGCCCAACAATGCACAATTCTCAACACAACTCCCAACACAGCACAATTCTAAATGGAGCAAAACTCCCAACAGAGCCCAACAATGCACAATTCTCAACACAACTCCCAACACAGCACAATTCTCAACAGAGCAAAACACTCAACAAACCACAGCTCTCAACAGAGCGTAAATTTAAACAAAGCAAAACTCACAATACACCACAATTCTCAACACAGCTCAACTCCCAACTGAGCACAGCTCTCAACAGAGCCCAATTCTCAACAGAGCACAACTCTTAACAGAGCACAACTCTTAACAGAGCACAACCCTCAACAGAGCCCAGAGATGGACAACCACCATCTACTTTCTGGTGTCAGCAGGACTTAAACACCAGCATCAAACTTTCTGGGTGATGTTTACAAAACTGTCAAATGACAGATAATATTCAGAATTCAAACCCAAAGATGAAAAAAAGCATGCAAAAATCATTTTAGGCAGCGTTCAAAGTAGACATTGCCTATTTGGCCACCCCGCATAGATTTGGCCACATTCTGCTCAAACAGCCGTCGGTTTGTCTGCAAGACTTCGGCTGCTTCTTTGTTTAGAGGATCCTCTGGGTTGGGCTCCTAAAAATATAATTAACTGAAGAATAACAGTCAAATTATTTCATACAAGTATTATTTAAATATTCATATCATTTAGCACACCATCAGCATTGGTAGACAAGTGGTCAGTGCATCTAACTGTTGTAATAGTCTTCTTCTTCTTCTTCACTTCCTCTTCTACCGCTGTGGGTGTCGAGGGAGATATAAGGTTCTGTCTCTAGCTCTTCTGGCCGCCTCGACCATAGGCACATCGTGCTGTTGTAGAGTTTCTCTGATGTTATCCTTCCATATTGTTCTTGGTCTACCTCATGCTCTACGTCCTTCTTCTCTTTCCATGTATGTTTTGTATGGTATGGTGTCACAAGGCATTCTCTCTAAGTGGGCAAACCATTTCACCTGCTGTCTTCGTATGTAATTTAGAATTGGTTCTGTGCCGACTTTTTTCTCTTATGATCTCATTCCTGATCTTATCTCTTATGGTCACTCCTACAGCCCTTCTCAGACATCTCATCTCCAGTTGTAACAGTCGCTCAGATCATTCTCTTCTTCTTCTGGGTTTGCTCTTAAAAGGATGTCTGGCATGCTGCAGTGCTGTTTACAGCTAGGCTGTGATATCTACAGCTTTCAGCTCTTCTTCTTCTTCTTTTTCACTTCCTCTTTTACCGCTGTGGGTGTCGAGGGAGATATAAGGTTCTGTTTCTAGCTCTTCTGGCTGCCTCGACCATAGGCACATCGTGCTGTTGTAGAGTTTCTCTGGTGTTATCCTTCCATCTTGTTCTTGGTCTACCCCGTGCTCTACGTCCTTCTTCTCTTTCCATGTATGCTTTGTATGGTATGGTGTCACAAGGCATTCTCTCTAAGTGGGCTAACCATTTCAGCTTTCAGCCCAACACGCTCAATTTAAGCAGTTTTAAATTAGCCACTGTTTACAATAATATCATTTGCAGTGAGAAAATAGTGCGTTTAGGTGTTATATACAACGTGACTCACGGAAAACAATCAAATCGTTCTCCAGTGGATCCCGGCTCACTGTGGCATACCAGAAAATGAGTTAGCAGACAGACTTGCAAAAAATGGAATAAAGGAGAAACAACACGCCCATTCATTGTCATTACCAGAAATCAGAACTCTTATCAAGGAAAGAACAAGGGATTGTGGAGAGAACAAACTAACAGTAAACATCCACAAGACCCCATCAGCAGACTCAACAGAAAGCAACATACAACAATTTTGCGTCTATGAACAGGACACTGCAGGCTCAACTACCAGATGCATAAAATAAAGATTATACAGTCCCCACAGTGTGCCTGTCAAACAGAACCACAAAGGCCTCAGCACATTCTGCAGACCTGCCCACTCTACCTGCAACTTCGAAAAGACACCTGGCCTCAAGAGCAAAGTGTGCAGAGCAAGCTATGGGGAACCATGCAGGACCTGCAGCTGACATGTGAGTTCATAGAGGCAACCCACCTGATGGCCTGATCTGAGCATACAAAACTGAACGCAAAGAAGAAGAAGATATACAAACTGTATTTTAATTTGCATGCGAAACATGGACAGTAAGCTGAAAAATAGTTGCAGCAGAGATGTGGTTTCTGAGAAGAATGCAAAGAATATCATGGAAGGGTAGAAAAATACAAATGGAGCAGTGCAAATGATGAAAGTCATAAACTTATTAGAACAGTAAGAGGTAGACAGTCAATATTGTCTGGACATGGGAGAAGGAATGGACTCATGAACTTGGTGACAACTGGCAAGATTGATGGAAACAGAGCAAGAGGAAGGCAAAGTGTTAAAAACCTGGAAGGCCTGGCCAGATGGATGGGGTGAGACAAAACACTGAAATGATCAGTGATCGTGTGAGATGGCAAATCATGATAGCCTACACTTACATGCGATGATTACGACGATGATGATTTACAACAGGCTTTATTTGAGTTAAGAATGGAAATCACAGAAGGCTGGACATTCACATAAGTGATCCATCCCTATTTCAGCAGGCAGTGCTCCAATTCCGATAGTACCTGTTACAGTCTGACTGTACGTCCATCTGCCTTTCCTGTAAATGCTGAACAATGGCCAAATCTATGGATCACTTCTGGTTGCACCATTCTCTTCAGACTGATTATCAATGTGTGCTTCTGCACTGCTCACTTTCTCCCAAAGGGCTCTGACCACATCTAGCTTTTCCTGCATCAATGTATCACCCAGTGGTGCAGAACCAGCCACTCTGCATGTTTATTCCCCAATACACAGGAATACCCATGAGAAAAATATCTAAAAGCACTAACAAGAATTCAAGGAACAGCAGGAGCAGATGAAGAAAGATAACATCAAGGATAAAGTTCTCCAGAAGCCAATGAAAGTGCAAAACAGGCAAGACCAGAACAAGAAACAAGTAATATCAAGATGACAGAAATTCCGACCAAACCCTTGGGAAAACATGTAGGAAAACCGCAGGAGGAACTATAGGGGTGATCAGCTGACAGCTGGCTCAGCATTGATTCCATGATGCAGCACTCAAATGAAAGCATTAAAAATTCTACACAGCCTAGAGAAAGCCATAAACTAGTATCGAACAGTGAGATGACAAACCAGTACCTCCAGTAAGATCTTTAAAGAACTAGTTCTTCTCAGGTGAGAGCTGCAATTACTAAGTATTAAAACAGGGCCATTCAAATTAACTGGTACAGAAGAATTTCCAAGAATCTGTGAATAGGAAAGAACAGCAATGGAAGGCCTATCACTCAGACACAAGAAATAGAATCAGAGGTTGACCTCACAAGCAAAGAATAGATGGAATATCTTCGGCTATGAATACCAGCATCAACATAGCACATACCAAGGCTGACACCAGATGCCTCTTCAAAACCTGATGCTGAAAGGTGCAGCAGGCTCTCAAGACAGGAAACGATACTGGAAAGCATGGTTTCAGGGAGACGAGGCAAACCAGTACACAAGCAGACACATCAAACATTTGACAAACCCGGTACAGGAAACCATTTGGCTAGGCCTGTATTCTTCAAGATCAATCAGAATTTGATAGCGATGTGGTCAATCTCATACAGGCCTTTATTTCCCAGAACATTTCCTGCTACCTAATATAAGGTGTGTGGACCTGGGAGCCCTAATCTATTATAAAAATATGACTGCCTCTATGCAGATTGCAGCATGAGATGTTTCGGCAAGCCAGCATCTAAAAATGTGTAAATCATCATCATGTAGCAGGTCCTTTTCAGAACGTAGCTCTCATCAGGGTCTGCCTGAAAGAAACTCTATCTCTCGCCAGCTCTTCCGCCTCATGTACCTTCATACTCTAAGAGTCACTTATATCCTGTGCCCATCTTCGTGTTGGTTGGCCCCTGCCCCTCCTTCCCGTTACCATGCCTTCTGCTATTATTTTTTCATGACCAAAATATTTCAGCTTCCTATACAGAATGCTGTTTATTAGCCAATCTTCCTTGATCTTTCAAGATGTCAGTATTTCTCCTCTTCTTTGGCATTTCAGCTCAAAAGCCCCAATTAGTGTGTAAATAGCCAAAGAAAACAAAAGCACAGACTTACCAAAAACAAATACTGTAAACCATAAACTATTGAATTGATGGTCAGAACTGGTTTCCAATCTTCCCTGTAAATATAAATATGAATGTTTTACAGTACAAAAATGTATTGTTATTTTCATTAAATGTTTTTTTTTTTTTAATATCCAGCAACCATGAGTTGTTAACCCTTTGGCTCAGGTACTATGGATATTGCAACACTTCGGTCTTGATTTCATGATAGATACCGTTAATCTGGGAGGAATATGGCTTTTCTGCCTACCCCAGGGCGTGAACCCGGACCACAAGGAGTTTGTCACCCTGTGGCCGCGAAGTCCGGTTTAGCCAACTACACTAGTGAGCCGGTCAATTTCATTAATATAAGAATGTAGTTATATAATTTAGTATTTACTGATGCAGGGAATCGTGGCCAAGTGGTCAAGCTGACTGCTTCTTGCTCTAAAGGTGATCGATTCAATCCAAGAACTGCTTCGTTTGTTTCAGGGGTGCAATGTTTCTTCACTGTTATCTTCTAGGAAACCTTCTTTCGGTAGTGAAAGAGTAGAACAAAATGAAAGCTTTTTCATACATCGCCGACTGAGTTTCCCATTGGCTCACTCGTAGACGACTTTGTCACCGATCGGGACAATATTTGGTTCTGTCTCCTTTGATCGCTTCGACACTGCAGGAGTCCTTTTCAGGGCTCTTGGTAGAATGCAGTGCTAACACTCATTCAATTTGGCACAAATAACCTAGTCACAATTGTGACCTAAAGCTCCCTCTTTGGCGATATTGGTTGAACACAATGATTTTTAATTTTGTTTTGGAGCAAAAGAGAGCTGTTTTGCAAGAAACTGCGATAACAGGAAAAGGCTACCTGACCTCATTCTTCATGACCCATATAAAAAAACTCAGTGAAAAAGTAATTGTTCTTTGGTCACAGAGATGCTTTGGAAAACCCTGTAACTAATGGAGCAGTAGAAGGAATAAAGGCAGTTGTCTGTATTGATCCTTTGCAACAACACTAACAGCAGAAGTAAAAACAGCAACAAAACAATGCAGTAGCCACAAAATCAGTAATAAAGCATCAATAGTAACATTATCAGTAGCAGCAGGAGTAACAGCATCAGGAGTAACAGCATCAGGAGTAACAGCATCAGGAGTAACAGCATCAGGAGTAACAGTATCAGTAGTAACAGCATCAGCTGTAACAGCAGCAGTAGCAGCAACATCATCAAGTAGTAACAGCAGCAGTATTAACAGCAGTAGTAGCGGCATCACTAGTAGCAGCAGTAGCAGCAGCACCAGTAGCAACATAATCTTTAGTAAAAACAGCAATAGTAACATCAGCAGTAATAACAGCTGCAGTCACAGTAGCAACAATAACAGCATCAGTAGTAACAGTAGCCGCAGTAAAAGCATCAGTAATCACAGCTTCAGTAGTAATAACAGCAGCAGTAGTAACAGCAACAGTACTAACAGCAACAATAACAATAGCCAGAACAACAATAGGAAAACAACAAAAACAATGTAACAACACATACAAAATGCAAATTATAAAAACCAACAGTTATTTAGTCAACAAATTGACGCTATAAGTACAACACTACCTGAGAATATTTAAGCAGACGTTGCCTTCCAGGTCAATGTTCGGGTGATAAACCATTGTTTCACATTTGACCTTGGGTGGGTCGTGCGGGTAGCCTTGGCCAACCTTGAAACTAAACACAAACCGGCCTCCTCTGTAAAACTCCTGAAGATAAAATTAAATTTTACACCCAAAAGAAGATATAATTAAATTTATACAACAAATATGAATAAATCAAGTTTATAGTGAAAAAAAAAAAAAAGATAAAATCACATTTTATATAAAGAACATTAATCAAAAGGTCCTTTACAAAATGCCACTCTTATCACAGCACACCTGAAAGTCTCTCTTTCTCCAGTACTATGTGCTTTGATATTTTTTCTTCAAAACATACAAAGATGATATTTAAAAAAGAGCAGTCAAACAGGGTATTTATTCCCACCCTTTGCTATCAGTGCACTAAAAAAAAAAAAAACATAAAAAGAAATTAGCAACCATGGAAATGGTTTTACCACTTGGAGAGAATGCCTTCTGATGCTATACCACACAAGGCAGATATCAAAAGGGGAGGGACATAGAACAAAAGACCGACCAAGAACAAGATGGACAGATAACATCAAAGAAACTCTACAGCACTATATGATGTGTCTGTTGTCTATGGTCGAAGTAGCCATAAGAGCACAAAGTAGGACCTTTTATTTACCTCGACACCCGAAGCAGTAAAAGTGGACATAAAGAAGAAGAAGAATGAAAAAACATCAACAGAGTCAGGTATTAAATGGAATACACTCCACAGGGTACAAAAACAATATGTACTGGCTGACTCATTCTGTGACCCTTATCTCTGAAGCTTAAGGGAAAATTTGGTGTTATCTTTCCTTTGAAGTAAACAAGGTAGGTCGAGAGAGGGATCATGATGCATGGGAAACATATGGTCTCTGCAAAACTGCTCAGGCTTTGTGCTATTGAGAGGATGTATAACTGTGGAAGGCTTTTCTTAATGCAGGCAGGTTTTGCTAGTTATACTCGCCATCACCATGGGTTGTGAGTCCTATACCTTTTGACAATACAATATAACACTGTCGTCTGGAAAAGCGCCAACAATGGGAAAATTTTACAGCAGCTTGGCTTTAAATAAGCCAGTGGAGTCGAATATAAAGCCCCTTAAATGCTTGTTTGGTTACTAAATTCATATTCTGGCCTATTAAATACTGCAGAGGTGCACACAGTTAGTCAGTTGTGCAGCCTTTATAGGACACTGCAGAACCACCCTAATAATTTTTGGCTGTTTTGTAATTTAACTAAGCAATTTTGCTTTCCGTAGATTGCCACCGCCTCCTAAATGGTCAGCTCTTGAAACCAGTGTAAAAACTATGCCATTTATAATCAAATTTCCCCTTAACAATCAAACTGTCCCCTTACAATCAAACTATTCCCTTAACAATCAGACTGTCCCCTTAACAATCAAACTGTCTACTTAACAATTAGACTGTCAACTTAACAATCAAACTGCCCCCTTAACAACCACACTGCATCCTTAACACTTAAACTGTCCCCTTAACACTTAAACTGTCCCCTTAACAGTCAAACTGTCCCCTTAAGAATCAAACTGCTCCCTTAACAATCAAACTGCCCCATTAACAATCATTTCCCCCCCCCCCCCCTTAATCAATGAAAATGCCCCCCCTCTGGGGGATGAGCTCACATGGGGAAACACTGTTCTGCACAGTTACTGACCTCATCTGGTGAAATGATGATTCTAAAATTCAATAAATCATCGGGATCTGGAAACTCAACCTGGCAGGTCTTTGGTAAATTTAATTCACTGATGTCTGAAAGCAGAAACAATATTATTCACTGTAAAGTTGGTGAAGAGTCCTTTCCCAGCCCTCTGTGATTTAGACGTTTGGCAATACAGTCGAGTCTGGATAAGTAGAACTCGCAGGGACCTAAGAAAATGCTTCCACTTATCAGGACTTCTACTTATCCAGACAGCACTTACAATAGAGAAAATTGCCAGGACTAAAATGGTCATGTGGACTTAACCGAAATTTGACTTATCCGAGTTCGACTTTAGTGGACTTGATTGTATACTAATATTTGTACAGACCAATCAGCAGTTGATGGGGGATGAGTTTAACATCATGCCTACTGCACTGGCTTCCCATGACATTTCCTGCAAATCACTGTAAGCTTTGGGAGCCACCATACAGTAGCAGCTTGACGTCCATCTGTGCATTGGAAAGACGTAAGGTTGGTTTCTGGCGTGGCCGGACTTTCTTGCAAAAATGACCTTGGCTCCTAGGTCGACCCAGGCTTGAGTGGGTACCAGGTATAATCCTGGAAAGTAAAGCCGGCTGGTGTTATGCTGACCAGACCATCCACCAAGTGCCAATTGGTGGATAAAATATAGGACTAGCCCTAAATGCCCAACATGCAGGAAAGTGTAGAAAAGAGGGTTCTTTATTAAAATACCTACCTTAGATGACGTCACAGGACAGTTCAGCATTTTAGAGGGTGGTAAAGACTGGGTTTCCCCACTTTCTGATACTTTTAATGAACCCAAAACATCTAGAACTGGCCCTAACCCCAACCCACCTACATCTCACGAGAGATTGCAGTATAGGTCCCACGATAGCATGCAGCCTATCTACCACCCCCTGAAATATAAGACTGGCCTGTGACCTGTGAATTTCCCCTGTTTGGGGTAGGATATTAATAAAGCACCGAAAATAGTCTTTTACTTTATGGCTCAGTATATTGCTTCAATTCTAACGTTATTTCAGTTCTAACCCATGCCAGCAAACGTTGGAGAACCACCACAGATATGGAACACAAGTAAATGCATTTGAAAATAAATGTCTGAGAAAAATCATTCACATAAAATGGGATGTATTCAACAAGAGTGAGATCAGAGAAATGTCTAGACGAATACCTGCATTGACTGCAATAAGACAAAGAAGGTGGAAACATAATGGGCACACTCTGAGATGAAATGAGTCAAGAATTACAGAAAATGCGATGAAATTGGAAACAAATGGTCTGAGAGAGAAAAAGACAATTAAGAGAAAGAACATTATTATGAAAGGCAAAAAATGCTGGGCTGAACTACATGTCAGAAAATGAGAAAGTTGCATGCATTAGAGCGGCAGAGAGGAATTCATTATAAGCCCTTTGTGACATCTAACGACACACAAAGGATGATGATGATGACGCTATCTCTTCTTCTTTTTCTTCTTCCCCTTCTTCTTTCTCTTCCTCATCTTCTTCTTCTCCTTCTTCTTTTTCTTTTTCACATTCGCTGGCTGTAATCTGTGGTGGAAAGTTCTGGCTGTTTGTCCAGTTCTGGACTTCAATTTTGTACATTGTATGTTTTAAAATTATGGCTTCATTGTATGGAGACTGCTAGTTCTTTGCCTTTTAGGCAGATGCATTCTGACAGCTGACTCAGAAGGAAAACCGCTAATTAGTAGCCTTTTATGACATGCTTGTGGGGAAGGGGGGGGGGAAGGGGAGGTCGGTGGATCTATTCTTTTCCCCTCCGATATGGGGTCCCCAGATAGCACACAGGAAGATGTGCACAGGAAGTGTGCTTTCCTAGCCCTTAACTGTCCCCACTCTACCTGCAAGGCAGCAGATTTGTGTCTCTGTTTCTGGTGCTTATTTCGTGACCTGTCCTCTGTCTGCCTGCAAAGTGAGTCGGTGACAGTCCCTAGTCTGCCTGCACAGTGAGTCGGTGAGAGTCTCCAGTCTGCCTGCACCATGAGTCGGTGAGAGTCCCTAGTCTGCCTGCACAGTGAGTCGGTGAGAGTCCCCAGTCTGCCTGCACAGTGAGTCGGTGAGAGTCCCCAGTCTGCCTGCACAGTGAGTCAGTGAGAGTCCCTAGTCTGCCTGCACCATGAGTCGGTGAGAGTCCCTAGTCTGCCTGCACCATGAGTCGGTGAGAGTCCCCAGTCTGCCTGCACCATGAGTCGGTGAGAGTCCCCAGTCTGCCTGCACCATGAGTCGGTGAGAGTCCCTAGTCTGCCTGCACCATGAGTCGGTGAGAGTCCCCAGTCTGCCTGCACCATGAGTCGGTGAGAGTCCCCAGTCTGCCTGCACCATGAGTCGGTGAGAGTCCCTAGTCTGCCTGCACCATGAGTCGGTGAGAGTCCCCAGTCTGCCTGCACCATGAGTCGGTGAGAGTCCCCAGTCTGCCTGCACAATGAGTCGGTGAGAGTCCCCAGTCTGCCTGCACCATGAGTCGGTTAGAATCCCTAGTCTGAGGCACAGTGAGTCGGTGAGAGTCCCCAGTCTGCCTGCACCATGAGTCGGTGAGAGTCCCTAGTCTGCCTGCACCATGAGTCGGTGAGAGTCCCCAGTCTGCCTGCACCATGAGTCGGTGAGAGTCCCTAGTCTGCCTGCACATGAGTCGGTGAGAGTCCCTAGTCTGCCTGCACAGTGAGTCGGTGAGAGTCCCCAGTCTGCCTGCACCATGAGTCAGTGAGAGTCCCCAGTCTGCCTGCACCATGAGTCGGTGAGAGTCCCTAGTCTGCCTGCACATGAGTCGGTGAGAGTCCCTAGTCTGAGGCACAGTGAGTCGGTGAGAGTCCCCAGTCTGCCTGCACCATGAGTCGGTGAGAGTCCCTAGTCTGCCTGCACCATGAGTCGGTGAGAGTCCCTAGTCTGCCTGCACCATGAGTCGGTGAGAGTCCCCAGTCTGCCTGCACCATGAGTCGGTGAGAGTCCCTAGTCTGAGGCACAGTGAGTCGGTGAGAGTCCCCAGTCTGCCTGCACCATGAGTCGGTGAGAGTCCCCAGTCTGCCTGCACCATGAGTCGGTGAGAGTCCCTAGTCTGCCTGCACCATGAGTCTTGAGAGTCCCCAGTCTGAGTGCACCATGAGTCGGTGAGAGTCCCTAGTCTGAGGCACAGTGAGTCGGTGAGAGTCCCCAGTCTGCCTGCACCATGAGTCGGTGAGAGTCCCTAGTCTGAGGCACAGTGAGTCGGTGAGAGTACTCAGTCTGCAGGCACAATGAGATTTGATTTGATTTTATTCAAGAACCGACATCACAGCACTCGGGGCATTCCCATAAGCGCTCCGTCCCCGTCTTCAGCAGCCAGCGAAGAGTTCCAATACTAATGGTGCCAGTAGCAATTTGATTAAACGTCCGTCTTGCCTTTCCTCTGAGCCTCGAGCATCTGCCAGAACCTCTCGTCACTTCCCCCTGCATCAGTCTCACCAGACTGTGGTGATCCATCTGCTCATCTGAACTGTACACGCTCTCCCACAAGGCACTAACCACGTCTGTCTTATCATGTATCAGTATTCCACAAGTTGTGCAGAGCCAGCCAGTCTGTCCGCCTGTTCATTTCCCAACACACCGGCGTGAACTGGTGAAAAAATCCAGACACTGCTCATCACAAGTGTCCTCCGCAGCGAAGCATGCTACTCTGCACGAAGCATACCTGTTCTGATCTTCCTCAGCATGCTTTCTGAGTCAGTTACAATCACGATGTGTGTGTGTGTCATGTTCTCTAGCCTCCACCTCCATTCTTAAGCTGGATGTTGTGGTATCATATGCTAGGCTCTCCTGCACCAAACGGTTGAAAATTAACTTTTGCTAAGAAGCCCCAAGCACTTCTTTTGCCTCTTGACACTGAACCGTCTGTGTAAATGATCAAATCCTCTGAGCGAGCCGGCACAGAGAGTCGGTGAGAGTCCCCAGTCTGCCTGCACAGTGAGTCGGTGAACGTCCCCAGTCATATTCCTGACCTGTCCAACACAAGGGACCGCAATTGTTGCTATGCTACTGTTTGGAACTTTTCAGGTCTGACATGCCCTGTGTGTTCCATGACCAAAATGTAAGGAGAAAAAAGGAAAGACCCACTGCCACAAAAGTCAACTAATTAGGAGTTCTTAAATCTGATGTGTTGGGTTGAAAGGCAGATACTGCAGCTAAGCTCCCCATGTGGGTTTTGGGGCCCCACTGTGGGGAAAATAAGAAGAGACACACTGCCTACCTAAAGGCATGTTGTAAGAGTCAACTTATTGGGAGCTCCCTTTGCAATCAGAGTGCATCTGCCTGTGAGGCAAGGAACCAACAGTCTGCACACAAATAAGTGAGATATGTAAACGGATGCACATGCAACACTCAGGTTCTGGTTCATGACTGCAGTCCAGAAGTGCACAAACACACACACCTTTCCGCCAGAGTTTACAGCTGGTGGTTGCAAATAAGAAGAAGCAGCCGGCTAGCTGTAAACCACAACACAATGTGGCAACAGTCTTTTACAATGAAAGCAGAAGCATAAGAATAAGACAAAGACTTGATATACAACAGTCTAGTCTCATTGACTAGAATTCTCCGTGTGGGTACCAGGGTTTCCCCAACAAGTATGTCGTAGAAGTCGGCTATTTGGGAACGTCCTTCAATGTCGGAGTGCATCTGCTCAACTTGCAAGGAACAACCAACTGCACACAACTTAGCCAGTAAAACAGGTGTACACGCAAAACTCAGGTCCTGGCACCAAGTCCAAATGGACAAACAGCCAGGACTTTCTGCTACAATAAAGAAGAAGAAGATTTACTATTATTTTAAATAACAGGAATTTATTCCGGCGTTAAGCAACTGGCTACAGTACAGACACTTTTGAAAAGGCATTTTCGGCTTTCCTCCGAACTTCTACCCCTGCATTTTGGCGGCCAAACAAATATCCTAACAGGGCCTCAGTCCTATTAAAAATATGCGAACTTAAGGGGCTGAACAAATCGCAGCAAAACTAGGATCGGCTTCGTCTAACGAAAAAAATGTAAGCCCCCATCCGATGGCTGGGACTCACGAGCAGCAGCTACCGCATCTCCTGCAACTTCCTCAAATTAATTTGCTTGTGAGTCCCAGGCATCTAGTTTAGCCCCCCATTCCCTTCCATCCGCGCCACACAAAGCGGCGCGGGGGTACTGTCGGCGGTGAGTGTAACCGCGTTTTGCGCATGCCGAAAAGTTTGAGGACAACAACACTAATTTGCGTCGGTGTGCGTGGTCTCCCCACCATGTCACTTTTACTGTCTGTAATGTTGCGTGTCTTGAAATTGTCAATGGTTGCTAGTATCGTCTGCTAGTATCGTATGCAGAAATGCTCGAAAGTGTCAACGATCGCTATTATCGTCTGCAACTATCATCTGCAGTGTTGACTCTCTTGCAATTGTCAGGTAATCCTAGTTTTGCCGCAATTCGTTTATCGCCGGAAGATCGCATATTTTTTTATAGGACTAAGGTCCTGTTATGATATTTGTTTGGCCGCCATAATGCCGGGGTAGAAGTTCGGAGGAAAGCCGGCATTTTAGCGCTACTATTGTAACAGCATACTAGTCAGTACTAGCACTATTTTGGACACTTTTTGGTCAGTACCGGCATTTGTTGTTGTATAGTTTGTATGATGTCAAGCCAACAGAAACAGAACCCAGATACCCTGTTCAACCTCATAAAACTGTAAATGTAGTTAGAGAACACGGTCAAAGAATTTGTTTCTCGCCTGCCCTTCCCCAAGACAACCATCTGAAATGTAGACTCTATGGATACCCTACGAAATGCAGTTCAGATGCCATGCCAATGGGAGCAGTCATAAGATACCATATTCAAACCTTATAAAAAGTTATTGAGTATAATAATCGAGGATCTAAGCAAATATTTCTTTGGTCACCTTTCTGAATCCGAAGCTGGGCAGCAGACGCTCTCTTCGCTCCCGAGGAACTTTCGCCGTCTTTCTTCTGCTGTTTCAGAGTAAATAATCGAATCATTGCAGCCCTGAACGTTCCTACCTCTTTCTAAGATGCTGTTTTGATGTCCCTTTTCAAACAAATAACCCAAGATTTGCAAGAAACTATCCGGTGACAGAAAATCTGAACCTTCTCTCTCAAGACGAAATTTATAAACAATGGGAGATCATTTATAAACTTCCGCCAGCGCCCAAAGCTATGAGTTAAAACGTTTCGAATTAGGCGTCCTTAACAACGAGGAAATATTCAAAACTTAAATTATCAGTTCTAAGAATACTTTCGTCCTTAACTCCATGGGACTGCAGATTGTTCCTTATCGTTGCAGTCGTTAACTGTACCCTAGTTATAACTTTTCTCGAGGTTGAACAGGTCACATGGGATCTGCCTTGTTGGTCTGCCATCAAGACTGAGATTTCAAAAATCTTAGGATGGTATGGTATGACATGTTATGATCATATTATCGACGTCACTGTACATTTGGCATTCCCATACGTGCTCAGTCTTCCGGTGGTGTGTGTGTGTGTGTGTGTGTGGTGTGTGTGTGTGGAGTATGTGTGTCTGTGTGGGTCACTCTATGTGCGGCTCTCAGTGTGTATGTCTGTGTGTGTCTGTGTGCGTATCTATATGTATGTCTGTGTGTGTGCGTATGTCTGCTTGAGTCTGAATGTGTGTCTAGTGTGCGTTTGTGTATGTATCTCTGTGTGTCTACGTGTGTATGTCTGTTCGTGTATGTATGTATGTATGTATGTATGTATGTATGTATGTATGTATGTATGTATGTATGTATGTATGTATGTATGTATGTATGTATGTATGTATGTATGTATGTATGTATGTATGTATGTATGTATGTATGTATGTATGTATGTATGTATGTATGTATGTATGTATGTATGTATGTATGTATGTATGTATGTATGTATGTATGTATGTATGTATGTATGTATGTATGTATGTATGTATGTATGTATGTATGTATGTATGTATGTATGTATGTATGTATGTATGTATGTATGTATGTATGTATGTATGTATGTATGTATGTATGTATGTATGTATGTATGTATGTATGTATGTATGTATGTATGTATGTATGTATGTATGTATGTATGTATGTATGTATGTATGTATGTATGTATGTATGTATGTATGTATGTATGTATGTATGTATGTATGTATGTATGTATGTATGTATGTATGTATGTATGTATGTATGTATGTATGTATGTATGTATGTATGTATGTATGTATGTATGTATGTATGTATGTATGTATGTATGTATGTATGTATGTATGTATGTATGTATGTATGTATGTATGTATGTATGTATGTATGTATGTATGTATGTATGTATGTATGTATGTATGTATGTATGTATGTATGTATGTATGTATGTATGTATGTATGTATGTATGTATGTATGTATGTATGTATGTATGTATGTATGTATGTATGTATGTATGTATGTATGTATGTATGTATGTATGTATGTATGTATGTATGTATGTATGTATGTATGTATGTATGTATGTATGTATGTATGTATGTATGTATGTATGTATGTATGTATGTATGTATGTATGTATGTATGTATGTATGTATGTATGTATGTATGTATGTATGTATGTATGTATGTATGTATGTATGTATGTATGTATGTATGTATGTATGTATGTATGTATGTATGTATGTATGTATGTATGTATGTATGTATGTATGTATGTATGTATGTATGTATGTATGTATGTATGTATGTATGTATGTATGTATGTATGTATGTATGTATGTATGTATGTATGTATGTATGTATGTATGTATGTATGTATGTATGTATGTATGTATGTATGGAGTGTCTGTCTGTCTGTCTGTCTGTCTGTCTGTCTGTCTGTCTGTCTGTCTGTCTGTCTGTCTGTCTGTCTGTCTGTCTGTCTGTCTGTCTGTCTGTCTGTCTGTCTGTCTGTCTGTCTGTCTGTCTGTCTGTCTGTCTGTCTGTCTGTCTGTCTGTCTGTCTGTCTGTCTGTCTGTCTGTCTGTCTGTCTGTCTGTCTGTCTGTCTGTCTGTCTGTCTGTCTGTCTGTCTGTCTGTGTGCGTGCGTGCGTGTGTGTGTGTATGTATGTACGTATATATATATAGGTGTGTGTCTGCTTGTGTGTGCCTGTGTGTGCGTCTTGTGTGTCTCTGTGTTTGTCTGTGTGTATATATATATATATATATATATATATATATATATATATATATATATAGGTACGTGTCTGTGTGTATGTTTGATTGAGTCTTGTGTGTCTGTTTGTGACTGCGTGTGTCTGTGTGTGTATGTCTCTGTGTGTGTCTGCGTGTGTGTATCTCTACACGTGTGCCTGTGTCTGTCTGTCTGTATGTGTACATGAGTGAGTGGGTTGGCGTGTGTTTGTGGTTGACGTGTGTATGTGAGTGTGCATGTGCCGCACGAGTATGCGCGTACATATTACCGTGTTTTTTCTTGACATTGATAATATGCATATTATTATATGAACACGCCATGCTTTAATGATAAAATACCACTGCTGTGTGAAAGATGGTTGTTTGGAAGCGCCAAATTTAAGACAGGCCTGCGTGTCCAAATTGTGACCTTTCAAAGAAGAAAAAAGTTCGTTTGTTTGTTCGTTCGTTCTTTCTTTTTCTTTCCCTCACCTTCCTCCCAGGTGTTCTGCTGTCAAATAAAAATCTCATATGCAGTTTAGTCTGGCTGTATTCTCACTAAATGGCGTAACGAATTATGTCATGTCTGCCAATATACTTCAGGACCATTCTTGTCCAGGCTGTCTACCTAACGCTGGTATTCGTAATCCGGCCCTTTGTTGTGTTATTAGTAATCTCACAACGCATTTTAAATATATTTTCTGTTCCAGTACCCTCTTAATTGTTCACGTAGGACACTGATATCATACAGCAGGGAATGAAGATGTTACTGAATCATTTGGTTTTTTGTTTTAACAACCCTGTTTTAATTCATAGTATCTCCAGAAGGAGGGGCAGGGGCCGACCGACACGAAGATGGGCACAGGATATAAGTGACTCCTTGAGTATGAAAGTACATGAGGCGGGAGAACTGGCGAGAGACCGAGTTTTTTTTTTCCAGGCAGACTGTGATGAGAGCGACGTTCTGCAAAGGACCTGCTACATGATGATGATCTCCAGAACCATTTAAATATGTATTGAATCATTTAGTTATTGATATATGAATGAGACCGCCAGTTCTTTGCTTTTCCATGAAATTGGTCTATGTTAACAATAAACGTTGTTATCATTTTAATTCTTTTTCTCTTTTTTTCCCCATCATCTTTACGCGCTTTAGGTGCCCTTAATGTGACTACCGATGAGATTGAACAGGCTATCTTCAATTTACTATCTTGAAAAGGCTTACAGTATTTGATGGCAGGGGTGTCAAATGTTCAGGCAACAGCCCGGAGAGGACAAATAGTCAGCCACCCTTGCTTGGTTCTGGAAAGTTATATCACTCTTTGAAGAATGGTGTGCTCAAGCTGTACAAGAAATCACCGCATGGGGTTGGGGAGGGGGGTAAGAAGAGAAAGATAGGCAAAGGCGAGAGAGGTAAGAGGGAGGAACAGTCAGACAAGTATTATGTAGGTATGTGGGGTAGGTAGGTAGATAGATATACAGACGTTTACATAGATAGCCAGATAAGAGACAGACATACAGACAAGTAGACAGACAGACAGGTAGAAAGACAGACGGACAGACAAATAGATAGCTAGATAGATAGATAGCTAGATGGATAGATAGATGGATGGATGGATGAATGGGTGGGTGGGTGGATGGATGGATGGATAGATGGATAGATAGATGGATGGATAGATAGATGGATATATAGATGGATAGATCGATAGATAGATAGATAGATAGATAGATAGATAGATAGATAGATAGATAGATAGATAGATAGATAGATAGATAGATAGATAGATAGATAGATAGATAGATGGATAGATAGATGGATGGATGGATGGATGGATGGATGGATGGATGGATGGATGGATGGATGGATGGATGGATGGATGGATGGATGGATGGATGGATGGATGGATGGATGGATGGATGGATGGATGGATGGATGGATGGATGGATGGATGGATGGATGGATGGATGGATGGATGGATGGATGGATGGATGGATGGATGGATGGATGGATGGATAGGATAGATAGATAGATAGATAGATAGATAGATAGATAGATAGATAGATAGATAGATAGATAGATAGATAGATAGATAGATAGATAGATAGATAGATAGATAGATAGATAGATAGATAGATAGATAGATAGATAGATAGATAGATAGATAGATAGATAGATAGATAGATAGATAGATAGATAGATAGATAGATAGATAGATAGATAGATAGATAGATAGATAGATAGATAGATAGATAGATAGATAGATAGATAGATAGATAGATAGATAGATAGATAGATAGATAGATAGATAGATAGATAGATAGATAGATAGATAGATAGATAGATAGATAGATAGATAGATAGATAGATAGATAGATAGATAGATAGATAGATAGATAGATAGATAGATAGATAGATAGATAGATAGATAGATAGATAGATAGATAGATAGATAGAGATAGATAGATAGATAGATAGATAGATAGATAGATAGATAGATAGATAGATAGATAGATAGATAGATAGATAGATAGATAGATAGATAGATAGATAGATAGATAGATAGATAGATAGATAGATAGATAGATAGATAGATAGGGAAAGGACTACTTTAAGATCTTTCTTTCACTAACCCAGTGTATATACACTGATTTTTATTTCCTTGTTCTGAATTACACTATATGGTCCATTTGCTAACCATCACGAACGAGTGAATCAATGTGCAAGTAAATAAACCCTACTTTTCCCGGGGTCGCACATACGCTTGTAAGACAGGAATTTGGTCACGCCGGTCACCCCTTTCTCAAAACGAAAGGCAATAATTGGAAACAAGACTATTGTAAC